TATGGCCTTCAAAAAGTTGACGACTCTACTTATTTCGACGTTGGATGACCTTGTAACGTCGAAAGATGTAGAGTCGTCAACTTTTTGAAGGCCAAAGATAGGCCTAAATAAAATGTTTTTAATTGTGTACCAGTTTAACGTTGAATATTAGTTATGATTTTAACAGATAAGTATATTGCTGTACATTGTTACAACAGTGTTCTGTTTCGAAAGATAGCTAGCATTCTGGTGTCTAAAAATAAAATACAAAAATAATAATGATCAATAAAACTTGATTAAATAATGTTAATAATACTATACAAAGGAAAGATACATGTACGCTTATGCATATACGCACGCGCATATATGTACGCCTATTTTCTGCAGTCCTTTCTTTAGTCTGGTCTAACATTTATCATCGTTTGATACATTAAGTTATATTGTTAATAGTTTAGGAGTGACGGATATTATATGTGACCGTTAAGAATAGCTTCCTTGTATATATTATCATGGTGTAGTTAGACCTCTATAACAAAATGCTTGTAACGAGCAGAGAAACGTTTTTGTGACATATAGTGGGATGTCTTCAATTAAACAATTTCAAAAGGGACTTACATATGTAATTACTAACCCTGTAATAGAGGTAAAAACAATCCAAAGTGTTAATTACACAATCTGTCCATTTACGACACATACACACATATATATATATATACACACACACACACAAACATATATATATGCACACACACACACATATATATATACACACACAAACACATATATATATATATATATACACACACAAACATATATATATATATATACACACACATAAACATATATATATATACACACACACAAACATATATATACACACACACACATAGTATTGGAAATAATTTTAGAATCACAAACAACACGTAACAGCAACTAAATGATCAATTTATTATCAATACAATACATTATTTAAACACACAATTGAACAACTTGCATAATACACATTAAGCTTTTGTATTTGCTTTAAACAGAGCAACATTTATGCAACCTTAAATTTATCAATATACGACCCTGAAATATTGTTCCAAATGTCTTGAAATACTCCCCATAAATTAGCTAAGTTGTTTGGATACCATTAAACATTCTTATTTTCCATATTAGCCTATAAAGCCTTAACAATATTCATAATGGAACTTCGTGTAGGTCAAGTTATGGTTTTGAGTGTTCAATTATCCTTTTTTTTCTTCATGTATCACTAAACTGTATTTACTGCATGCTTTGGTTCATTGTCTTACTGGAAAATGAATCCCTGCCCAACGGATCTTGTTCCTGAGTGAGTGAAATGATGGTTTAGAATTTGCTTGTACCTGTCGGCAATCAGGGTGCCATCAATTCTGTGTAGATTTCCAATACCACTGGCTAAGATATAGTCCACACTTGTAGGTCTCTCCCATGTGTAACTTGCCAGAGGAAGAAAAACTACAACATTCAAGTTCCAACAACTTCTCTTACATAATGGCTATTCCTTAAAATATATAACTGATACTTTTCATCAGTATGACTAAAAAAATAACCTCAAACATACTTTGAAACAAAACACTTACTATACCATGTGAAATATACCATATGATACCCTACACGGACAATAATCTTGCTCCTCAAATTCACAAGGCTATCAAAAAATCTGGCCTTAACATACGATTTATACAAAAATGAAAAAGTTTAGAACAGTTTCTTGTTCATTCTGATATCAAATCCCAAAATACTTGTAATATCAAAAAATGCTATGCAAAAGATAGTGGTTATGATAAAATCTGCATGAAAATGTGGTATATAAAATACAATGTACAAAGTGCTCTAGTGAAACTGGTCATCCGCAGCATGAAAAATTTCAAGAACACATCAATGATATCAAACATTTCACAAAAAAAAGAAATTAATGAATAAGTTTCAACACCAGGACTGCCCAATGAAAAACCTTTTAAAATCAAAGTTTTGGAAAAATGTAACAATTATTTAGAAAAAAATAAAGAGGCACTACTAATTAAAGATAAAAATCCTCCCTTGAACAAACATAAAGGTTGACCTGTCTAAATTCAAATTTATATAATATAAAAACTTTGAATAATGTGTATACATACTTACTTTACATTACATTTATTTGTTTACAATATTTCCTCATAAACTGTTGTATCACATGACATCACATTACAATATGTATTTGCATTGCTGTATTGTCTTCCATTCATAATGTATGTTTGAACTGATTCAACTGTAAATACCTAACCCTTGGTAAAGGCACAAGTCAAAACATTCATACATTAAAAGTTTTATTTACCTGGAGTTTGTAGTTATATTTGTTTTAATAATGACTTCTAGTTTCAAGTGTGCAGTTAGGCATCTCAATATAAGTGATATTATTTATCTATTTGAACATGTTTTTGCTTTCAACAGTAAAATATATTTTGAAACAAGATTTATGAAGAAAAAAATAATAATATTTTGCTTACCACTAAACGATTTTTTGCCAAAAAAATCAACTGAACAAGATTTTTTTCCTGTGTGTTCCACTAAAGCGTTTTTACATGGTTGACTTACAATTTAAACAATGGTATCTAATTTTCACCAAGTTAGTTATGCCTTGTGTTATATGCCTCTTTAAAAAAAACAAGAATCAATATGCACAAACCAATTGTCTGGACATATAAAAGTAGGTGGCTGATTCCAACCACAGCCATAATCCTACACTTAATTTGTTTCTTTTCTACCTGAATATTTCTCTCTAACACCACCACAATTATCTGGACATCTAAAGGTACTTTGATGCAGGTGTCTGGTTCCAACCACAACCATAGTCTTACACTTAATTTGTTTCTTTTCTACCTGAATATTTCTCTCTAACACCACCACAATTATCTGGACATCTAAAGGTACTATGATGCAGGTGTCTGGTTCCAACCACAGCCATAGTCTTACACTTAATTTGTTTCTTTTCTACCTGAATATTTCTCTCTAACACCACCACAATTATCTGGACATCTAAAGGTACTATGATGCAGGTGTCTGGTTCCAACTACAGCCATAGTCTTACACTTAAGATATTTCTTTCGTACCTGAAAATTTCTAATGGGAGATATTAATGGTGTTTTGTCCAACCAATGAGGCTAATTACTGATCAAATATGTAGAATGGTAAGAAAGAGTACTTCTGAACTGTACGGCTGTCATGGTACAAATGCAGTTTTACAAAAATCTTAAAAAAGATGTATTAGTTATTCTTAATATGTAGTTTTAAAAAAACAAATCCAAGTGAAACTAAGGAAGCACTTATATTAGTATTGTTTTTTAACACTATGACTTACTGATAATGTTGTAGTTTCATATTCTTCTGCTTAATTATTAGTTCATTAAAACAATTATATGCCAAATTCTCATTGTTAGATTAGAATATGTACATCTGCTTATCATAATGTGTAGTTGTTTACCTGTGTTAGTCGATAACACAAAGCACTTACTTATTAGTTTAGAAATTAGGTCCTTTGTCTTCTTAAGCTGAGTTTCAAGTTTGTCAACCAACTTTTTTGCATTATCTTGAAGAGTAGTATCAACTGAAAAAATTCAAACAAAAATATCTTGCAAATAAAAACCTTTTACCAGAAGCAACAACTACCTGATGGAAGTAGGTAATAATAATCCAAATATAAATTTATCATTGTTAGATAATCTTTGGATAATTGCCTCCATCAAATTAAACAAAGTTAAATATAAAAGAAATACTCTGTTCAAATACAATGTATTTACACCTATTCATGATTTCACATAATTCCCATAACAATTCTATTGAATAACCTGCAGTACGTGCATTATTTAAAAAGAAATTAAAAACTAATGCTAGTGAACAAGTACTACCAGTTATAATTTGTGAATGTAACAGCTATCTAGTATAAATTCTTGGTAAGATTTTTATGGTAAAATGATTATAGTAAAACTGTTCTGATTTTATGGGCAACATTATCATTCTTTCATGTTTTGCTCCCTTGTTAATTTAAATACTTTTAACTTTAAGCCCTTATTTCATATGGTTTTAAATACAATAACATCTGATTCAATCACTACATAATAATATATAGTGTATGATCTTCTGAAATTGGAACATTGTTGGTTTTCATTTGAAATTTTGTGCAAAGCTATATGAGAATTATCTGTGTTAGACATCCCTAATTTAGCAGTGAAAGATTAGAGGGAAAGCAGCTATTCATCACTACCTACTGCCAACTCTTGGGCTACTATTTTATCAATGAATAGTGAGATTGACTGTCACATTATAATGCCCCCACAGCTGTAAAGGCGAGCATGTTTGGTGGGTTAGAGATTTAAACCCGTGACCCTCAAATTATGAATCAAGCAACCTAACCACCTGGCCATTACTGATTAAACAGAAATGAAGAATGATATATACATAAAAGTAAATGTTATTTAAAATTGTAAAGATCTGGGTGACTATTCAAGTTATCTCTAACTTATCTTAAAACTTTTCACAAGCTGTGCAACTGTATCATTTGAGTAAGGAACCAAAAATTTCAAACTTTGACCATTCATGATAAGGTAAAGCTTGAAATGTATTTATGCTTTGGACTGAACAAAGTCCAGTGAATCTCTTGCTGGACTGGTGATTTCATGGTTTTACTCCTTTACTGCTAAAAATAAACAAACATCACAGTCCTCACTTTGGGGCCTGGGTGTTTTATAAGAAAGTTGGTTAAATCTCACTATTCAATTTGACAACAGTAGGCCGAAAATTGGTAGTGGTATTTACTAGTTACTTTGCCTGTAGTTTATCACTTGAGAATTAAGGATGGTTAATGTAGATAGCCCTCATGTAGCTTTGCGTAAAATCTAGCCAACAAACAATTTATAAGGTATAGATGCTAGTAGCTTTCATGAAAAACTATATTTCTAATATCATTATTACCTTAAGTTACACGAGTCTAACATTTGAAATAACAGGTTATAGTAAAACATTTTTAGCTTTTTACACATTGTAATAAACATATTTTTACAATTACTGGTCTAGGACTTGGACTTAGTTGTTTCTTTTCAGATTCAAATAATATTAAAGAGTATCGTCCAAATAATAATTTGCCTGATTTAATCACCAGCCCCACCCATGATACTAAACAACCCTTCCTGAAGCATTATATTGCCTGATTTAATCACCAGCCCCACCCATGATACTAAGCAACCCTTCCTGAAGCATTATATTGCCTGATTTAATCACCAGCCCCACCCATGATACTAAACAACCCTTCCTGAAGCATTATATTGCCTGATTTAATCACCAGCCCCACC